AAACTAGAGCTGGTAGAAAAATATGACAACAGAAAATATTGTATTTAGCCTACAGCGAGCAGTTTTTTTTTCGAGTTTTATTTGTTAGTTACGACACTATTTTACTTGAAAGGATTGAACATGTGTTTTAAAAGTGTTGTTCTGTTCGTTGCAGACTGTTTATATTAATAAAACGTGATCAGTGTATTTTTTTTCGTTTCATTGTGTCTCTGTGAAATCTTAAATATTTATTCTGGGTAACTGTGTATAATGGAAATAGTTGACTTTATACCCTGTATAAAGCTTCGGTATATTTGACCACATTTTTTTCCCAGGTGTTCTAGAAACAGCTGACGAAGATGCGAAACCAGCCGCGTGTAACACAAGATGGGGAATATCTTCTCAAGACATTAACAACGTTGACGAGGATGAATCAAACTCTCACAATTCCTGCCACATTGTCAGAATAAAAGGTTCTAATAACGCAAACTATAACTATCACTGTAAGAGAAGGTCGTTTATAATAACTATTGATAAATATATTTCCCCCTCTTTAATACACAGTTCTAAAAATACAAAATTTCCAACTAGCTACAAACATCTGACTGCTTGTCTATTCTTGTCAATCTGTTTTAAAATCGATTAATTGTGCCAACTTCTCTGAAGGTATACTTGAAGTAGAGACTCTATATACAGCATAGCAATAAGTTGTGCTCATGAAGATACACGGGTTTAATTATCATTTATTTATTTAATTATTTTCCCATTAGAAGGAAACTCCGTTGTTAAGTTTTGAACCACCCCTTTGAGTACATAAAACGATAAAATCAGTCGTTCTTCTTCTATATCTATAAAGTTCTGATCTTCGATTGGAATAAGTAGAATATTCTACTTCATTCTTCTTGTACAATCAAACTGCAAACAATACTTGACCACTGAGCTGCAAGTGAACACATTACGCAAATAAGTTATGAAAAAATGAACGTTAAAGATATCTTCTCCTACCGATTCTCTAACTTAATACTTTTTTTTTCGCATAGTCTACAACCTGCTTAACCAGATGCAAAATGTAAATTATTATAGAACAAAACTTGCTATGCAAAGGTTATAAATAAAGTCTCAAAGTAAAGATGTACCTAAAGTAAGTAATGTTCTCTAAATTAAAATATTGTCTTGTAACCTTGTCGGATATAAAACTGAACAGTGGCGTTTTGTAGAATTTTAATAACATAATAATGTTTACTGTGTCTTAGGCTTAAAGTATGTAGACATCCAATATAAAATTTTAGATCAAAACAACTTAACAAGATGTTATTAGAGAAACTTGTTATTTGAATGCATAAAAATAGCTGATCTGGAAATCTCTAGTATCCAAAGATATCTTCTCCTTTTAGTGCCGGAAATGTAACACTGTATAAAGTCCTTTTGGACTTCCTGAATGTTCTCAGGTTTAATTATGCATTCATCATACATAATTAGGTAGATCTATTATTTGTTTGTTTTAAAGTTGTACAATGGTTTGTGTTTTTGGCACCACAGTGATCGAATTCAGAAGTCTAGCGTTATAAGTTCTTAAAATTACCGCTGAGCATCAGAGGACAGACAAAGACATACATACTGCAAAAGAAATAAAAATCAAATTTTAAACAACGTACTGTAATACTAGGAATATATTTGACGATGCTGTCTTTATTTATTAGCTTATAGGCCTGACATGGTCTGATGATTAAGGCATTTGACTCACAATCTGCGGATCGCAGGATCGAAACTTATCACCGAACATACTCGCCCTTTCAGCCGTTGAAGTATTATAGTGTAAGAGTAAATCCTACTATTCCTTGGTAAACTATAGCCCAAGAACTGGCGGTGGATGGTGTTGACTAGCTGCTTTCCCTCTCGTCTGTCACTTCAAAATTAGGGACGGCTAGCGCAGATAGCTCTCGAGTAGCTTTGTAAGAAACTTGACAAACAAATGTACAGACATGTGCGAAACAACATTGATCCTTTTTGTGTGTGTGTGTGCGTGTGATGAAATAAAAAAAAAGATTCGGTGTTACAAACAAGAGAGGCCTCAGATGTGATTCAACACCTGAAGATATAATACCCCTTATTTGGCATCATTTCCAGTCATCTACCAGATTGAGGTGAACTCTTCCACTCTGCAAACCTCAGCAGATGATGATAGAGGTTATTAACAACCAATATAGTGTGCGCCTTTTGGATTAAAACATCAAGAGTAAGGAAACAAGATAACTTTTAATGACCATAAAATCACATTCGAAATGAAATAGCACGTAACGTTGAGCGAGTAATAGGTTAAAATCCTCATCTAAAGATATATTTAACTCAGAGTTTCTGACATTAACGTTTAGTTATCCGAGTTCCTGTGGGCTAAACTACAATCGTCAAAGTGCTATAAATGTGAGATTCCGGGTTTTACGTTAAAAGGTTTAGAAGAGAATAGCAAAGAAAATATCCACTAATTTGAAAATATGGAAAACACACATAATCATTCTTTCGCCATTAAAGAGTTTCATTATGGGTATGGGTGTTGTTATCTGTTGTGAGATATATTTCATATAACAAATTACATAAAACGAGTTTGTTTTTTTTAATACAGAAGAAGCAATTCTGTTTTAAATTAAAACGTGAACGTTTTTACTATTATAAAATGACAGTTATACACGCCAGGAAATGAAGAACTCGTGAGCACTTGATATAGCTGGCACAACTTCATACACGCAATTCCAGTAATCTGAATCTTCATTATGTAACTACGTATCGTCATTGTTCCAAGAGTCACAGTTACTTAATTCATAGAGTTATATATAGTAACCTATATATCTTGGTTCTATCATTGTAATAATATTATGAGCAAATTTAAAAAGAAAATCTCATCTTACCATTGAACTAGTCTGTTTTAGCTGTAATCTTGAGTTAGGATTGTTTTAGCTGTAATCTTGAGTTAGGATTGTTTTAGCTGTAATCTTGAGTTAGGATGAGTAATTTTCACCATCGTTTATCAATTGAGACTAAATAGGACAATTGCATGTCGATAATATATTTTAATCGATACCTTAAAGCCGTTATCTAAACATTACATCTCTTTAAACACCAATTAGTGAAATATATGCTAAAAGCCGGTGACCACTCTACTAGTAAACACTGTTAAACATATAGAAAGTAACGTAAAGCTTCTAATCCAATTAATAAAACCATAATTTGTTGATCTTTGCAATAATGAAGATTCGAGGACTTAGTATGTGCAAAGAGAGATGTTGTGATTTGTTTCAGGTGTAATATTGTGATCTTCGTGACATCTGGAGATTCGTTAAACTTTAACGATAATGAAGAGGAAGCGTGCACGATGAGCAGATACTAAAGTAAACAAAGAAATGTGGACAATACTTCGACAAAGACGAATCTGTCTGAATCACGAGTATTCAGAAATGTCTTTACTCTATATATCAGTCATAGGGCAGTTGCACTCCACGTACACAAGACGTACACTCCACACGATATAATGTAACTATCACATTAAACAATAGATCATTCGCGTGATTAAGCTCTGCTAAAGGAGGTAATACCTAGGTTTAACTTTGGCACATCACCTCGGCCATATTTAGGATGTTCCGAGTCATGTCTTCTGAAAGGTTTTGTAAATATGAAATATACAAGATAGGAGAGTGAGCTATGTGGTACTTGCATACCACACAATTATAACTTACGCAGAGCAAAAGCTTCAGACGTTGACCATTATCTTCCAGCACAATGAACAGAAGAGAACTGAAGTTGCTCGAAACTGAAACCTTCAGTTAGTCGTAGCGTGTATTTTATAATTCAATGATAGCTAATAAGACTGTAAAAATCCTAGGCTCAATTTTCCATTAATAAACAGCAGGACCAACAATTCCTCATATGTTTACACTACAAGTCACTTATTTGCTGAAATTTTTAAACAGTATACACTTCAATGCACGTGTCACAATGATATTGATTATCATTTCATGCCATCTATTACCTCCTAATAAAACGCGTGGAAGTTTGTGGACAGTGACGATTATGTTATAGGTTGGAATAACAAGAAAGTATGGGCATGGTACTGACAATATATTCAATTGAATAACTGCCTGATAGCATAATAAGAATGGCAATATCTCGACACTAATGTCTTCTTTACTCAATTCCAGATAGTATAATTCCAAAACATGTTAACAGAAAAACGTTGCTATTTCATTGAATTTCTTTCCAGCCTTATCTTACAAATTGCGAGAAAAACTCTTAATCTTGTACCACATTTTCACGCAAAGAGTTTACGTTTTAAAAGCGTTGTTTTTTGTCAGTCAAAACTGAATTAACCTCTTTGATAGTGCTCTAAGCAAGGACATTGCTAGATTTTGTAATAATCTGTGAAAAACTGAAATACGAAGCCCCAAGTGAAAAGTAGTTCCAATAATTAATCCTTGTTGCAAAGATATAAAATAATAACAACTAATTATTTTCATTTCACAACATCAAGAAACTATAATTCTGATTGTGTCGTAACAAAAAATAGTTCTTTCAACTGTATGAATGTAAAGTGAACTAAATAATAATGTTTTTGATTCAGCATGAAAATCCCATCGATACACCAAAATTTTGTTTTCAAAGTCGTTTTAGATGGTAAGTCTTCAATCATTCCAAAACAATCAAGAATTATTGATATTCCATATTCGAAAGAAATAATTGGAAGTAAAAAAAGGCTTCTGGCCCGTTGTGAATCTGACATAGCTGTTGATTAATTGTAGTTGTGAAAAACGTTTTTCAGCAGATAAGAATTTACGAGCATGATCAGAGGTATCCTTAATGATGCATATATGTTTAGATACAGATCTTGAAATGTATTCATACAAATTAAATAACTTCAAGAGAAGTTAATGATTCTGGAACAATATTTAACACCCAGTGTAGGAGTTCAGGAGACCGAAAACGGGTGTCAGAGGAGTGTCACGGTTTCCAGTATTCAAACTAAAACCAAAAATACTAACTCCGATAAAGGACTTGATCCGTTAACCTCACTCTACTGTCAAAAAACCTCACCTCTCAATAGTGTTCATCCAAGAAAATGTGGAGTTTAAGAGGTTGGCGTTCTGCTTGCAAGACATGTAAGAGTTCATCATGGCGTACCATGATTGGTCAAAGAAGAAAACGCTAATGAATATTGTATCCTTGGTGACATAAAACAGAGATAAAACCATTGGTTGATCATTATTCTCTCATGTCATGTGCTGGAATGCTGTCCTGATGCTATATCTGCTGCTACTTTTACAACTGCCACTGCGACCTCTACACCAACTATCTCATCACTTACAAAACTAACTCCTGAAACCCAGTTGGCGAGTATTTATCTGGAATTTCAAGGAAAAACCACTACAACAATAACAATGATGACTAAATACTGCTTTTTCATGCATTGGTGATGTATGCATTGCTGAAAATTGGAATTATGAAAGTCAGTAATATCAAACATTCTTTTCGTCACTAAGAATTCATCATCATGTAATGATATCTTTCGACATAACTAGTAAAAACCGCGGAGAAAACAGCTCTATAAAGATGAGGAGCCAGATCTTGTATTACACAACATTTGCGTCCACTACCGTATTTTGTATGGGATATTGGATGGGGAAATGGATTTTACTCCCTGATGGCTTTGAAACAAGTGTCAGTTGGATGACACTAGTAAGCAATTCAGATTCCAGATATCCCAAGGATTTCAAATCTCCATTCAGTATTTAAAAAAGAAAGTACAGGAAAACTTTGTTTGGGAATCAGCACACCCAAAATACCCCCCCCCTGTCTCGTAGACTGGATGCTAGTAACAAACTGAAGAAATTCGTCGCATAATTTTGTTCTAACCAATATTACAATAATCTTCGCCTTGAAGCGCAAATTGAAGATCTTAGCATTATTTAAGCAGTTATTTTTCCTTCACATCTTACAAATCTTTAATACTATAAACAAACCCAAGTTATTATTGTGAGATTGATAAAGTTCAAATGGTTTGACAAATGAAGTATACAGTTTCTTCAGATCTATTATTATCAAACATGTCAAGCAGTTGGCCCATTTTGACGAAATGATTCAGACATGTATGTTTCATTGGGAGTAATAAATTCATTACTGTATACTACAGAAGCTTATTTAATATTCTTTTTTTACTTTTAATTATAGGTCTATCAACTTTCTCCGTTTCAGAATATATTCATCTCATCAAGAGTAAAAATCGTGCAGAAACCCAGGCAACATTGACAAGGTGCGTCTTTAAACAGGTTCAACTTAAGCGTAAACTCAAAAAATGGTGTTAAAAACCCACCGATTACGCGCCTTAATTCGCAACTAAGTGATTAATATGTTGATTCGTGAATCTGGCATTTATCAGCTCATTAATTCAGCATCAGTTTATAATTATTAATGACACGTTTAATTTCTTGTGTAATGTTTAAAACAACGTGTAGGCTTATGAAGTTCGAATAGTTAATATATAAATCGCGTGTTGAACGAAACATAAATATTTAACAAATGTTTAGCATAATTACAGTGGTTTGTTGAATTTCGCGTAAATCTTACTGAGGGTTATCGGCTCTAGCCGTCCCTAATTAAACAGAGAAAGACTAGGGTGAAGGCAGCTAGTCAACACCACCCATCGCCAAATTTTAGGCTACTCTTTTACCAACGACATTTATAATTGATCGTCACATTATAATGCCCCCACAGCTGAAAGAGGGAAGCATATTAGGTGGGAGGGTTTCGAACCTGCGACCCGCAGATTGTGAGCCGAGCACCCTAACCACGAGGTCATTCCATGCTGTGTCATAATTAAGGTGGGAATCTACGTATTTGATAGTTTAGTGCGATCATGTATATTTTCTTTCTTTCTTAACCGGTTGAACTCATATTTTCTATAGATTAGTAACATAACCAGTGGTCGAACGTTCGCATTAATTTACAGAGCTCTCGACTATTTTCTTCGGCTGGTGACTATAGCGATATAACGTGCCCTAAAACATGAAAAATGACTGGTTCTCCTTCCTTACTACCATCAATCTAAATCAGTAAATCAGTTGGATTTTCTTTTCCTGCATTTCGTTAGGCAGAATTGAAGTGAACTGCTCTAAGACATAAAGAAACTGGGATTACTGTTTCCTCCCTGTTATCAGTCTAGATCAGATGGTGTTTCCTTAGGTGAAATTAAAGTGACAGCTACATCATGCGTTCTGTTTACTCCCTAGATTAAAACAATCGATATCAGCGCACCCTATGTACCTATCTATCTAATGTACTAAAAAGACTGTAGTTGATGAGATCGTCGATAAACGTTTTTTCACTATTTGAGCTGTTGGTTCTTCAACAACAACAAAAAATGTCACGAAAGGAAAAATCGTCAGAAGAAATAAAAATAATATGTTTCCATAGCTTGTGGTATGACATGAATGGAGGAGGATGCTAGTTATTATTATTCCATAGCTTGTGGTATGACATGAATGAAGGAGGATGCTAGTTAGTATTATTCCATAGCTTGTGGTATGACATGAATGAAGGAGGATGCTAGTTAGTATTATTCCATAGCTTGTAGTATGACATGAATGAAGGAGGATGCTAGTTAGTATTATTCCAAAGCTTGTGGTATGACATGGATGAAGGAGGATGCTAGTTAGTATTATTCCAAAGCTTGTGGTATGACATGAATGAAAGAGGATGCTAGTTAGTATTATTCCAAAGCTTGTGGTATGACATGAATGAAGGAGGATGCTAGTTAGTATTATTCCATAGCTTGTGGTATGACATGAATGAAGGAGGATGCTAGTTAGTATTATTCCATAGCTTGTGGTATGACATAGATGAAGGAAGATGCTAGTTAGTATTATTCCATAGCTTGTGGTATGACATGAATGAAGGAGGATGCTAGTTAGTATTATTCCATAGCTTGTGGTATGACATGAATGAAGGAGGATGCTAGTTAGTATTATTCCATAGCTTGTGGTATGACATGGATGAAGGAAGATGCTAGTTAGTATTATTCCATAGCTTGTGGTATGACATGAATGAAGGAGGATGCTAGTTAGTATTAAAATCTCTCGTGTGAAATCATGTTGTATAAAATGCAACGTATTTTATGCCGATAGACAATGTTAACACTCAACGTTTCGCTTCACAGCTTCTTCAGGAGTGTTCACTAAAACACAAACCGAAACTGATACTACAAAGCTTCAAATGATTTAAATGATGTACTGTCAGGTTCGGTTTGTGCTTTAGTGAACGCTCCTAAAGAAGCTGTAAAGCGAAACGTTGAGTGTTAAGTAAATATAAACAACATTTTGGTGTTATAAGGTTGTTTATTTCTAGTATTGATATGTCTTGTATACACTAATATGTACTACAGAAATTAAACAATGTAAACAGTTATTTTTTTATTGGTGACGCAGTTTCGTGATAGGGTAAACTTTACATCATTGTATTGTGTAGTTACTGGCTTGAAAGTTTGGTTTATTATCGTACTCTTGTTTAATAGCATTTTTTCATTAGTAAGATATTTTTTATTTTATCTAGATTAAGTTGTTTTTTCCTGTTTTTTTTCTCAGAAGAGGTCTCTGAGCGTATTGACAAGTATAGTATTTGTTTGCGAAGGGCGGAATATAATTGGAACGTCGGAGCTAATTAGACAAAAAAAAAACGACATATTTTCAGTTTATTAACAAAATAACTGCCAAACAATCTTTATTTTGTGGCTTTTATTATTCTTATTATATGATCGGCAAAAAAGTTAGAAAGTGTAATTGTCTTGGCTCCAACATTTCAATTTTGCCTAAGTTATGTCGTTAAATTTCGCTATAATAATTTTTTGGTTAACATTCACTCTGCGAGTCAGGGAAACATGTTTGGTGAGTCGATCCCAAGCAAAGTTTTCTGGTACTCTTCCAAACGATGTCTGGAACCTAAAATGCCCAAAGTGTGGCCGAATTCGTATTGATTTCCAAGCTGTGCAGGAATAAGACTCATACTTTAATCCAAAAATCTCATAGAAAACAAGATGGTGGAAAAATATTTTGGACTAGATTTGGTTCCTCAGCTTTATAAAGCTGTTTTCTTCGCATTTTTCGCAAGTTCTGTCGATAGAGACGGCCGATGAAGGCTTAATGAAGCTTATTTGCCGCTGTAAGGTGGCTAAGTTTGATACCTAGCGGAACATGAACACTTCTACTATTTTGTCCAAGAGGACACACAGTCCGACCATCCCTTAAACTCCGCATCTTCGTAGCTGAACACTATTGAGGGGCGAATTATTTCGGCAGTAAAGTATTGATTGTTGATGGGGTTTTTTTTTTGGTAAACATATCGAACCTTTTATTGAAGTAAATGTTTTTTGTTCCAACTTGAATATCAGAAACAATGACATCCCTCTGTAGCCCACCCAATCCCACTAAATTCGGTTTCATTGATTCACAGACTGAGTTAAAATAAGATTTTTGAGCTTTTAAGTAATAATAACGCATGATAATAAACAGAGGGAAGGAAATAGTCTACAAAAAACGAACCGAGTCAAAATTATCGTGAACTAAGAAGTTGAAAATGTTCTCGTTTCAGTAAAAATGGGAGCTCTAAGTTTTGGTGCTGGCGAGCCTGGTTCGAATCCTTGCGATACCTCTAAATATGTTCCACTCTTTAAGATGTGGGCACGTTATAAGAGTGACGGTCAGTCCCTTAGTTTGGATGATGAGTGATAGAGTGCTGCCGAATGGCTGTCTTCCCTCTGATCAATAAATAGTTCCATCTTAGGGAAGGTGGCAGATAGCTTGGCCACAAATATTACACAATGTATTAAAACCGTCCGGCATTGCGTGTTTTTATAGTAAACCTAGTAGTTGGTGAGATTATTGCTGTATTACAAAGTTTGGCATTGTGTATATTTCAGGTTTTTTATATATATTTTACAAAATACGAGCCCCCCAGTGGCACAGCGCTATGTCTGCGGACTTACAACGCTAGAAACCGGGTTTCGATACCCGTGGTGGGCAGAGCACAGATAACAAACCCTTTGTGTAGCTTTGTGCTTAACTACAAACAAACAAAATATGTAGTGTAGAAGAATATTGATGTTTGTTTGTATGTATGTAGTTAAGCACACAGCTACACAATGGGCTATCTGTGCTCTGTCCACCACAGGTATTGAAACCCGGTTTCTATCATTGTAAGTCAGCAGACATACCGTTGTGACACTGGTTTTTTATGTTATTACAAAAGTTGAGGGTGTCTCATTACGATACATTTTTACTTCTTATTTTAACAACGAGCATGTTTGAAGCATAACCTGATAAAACAGTGTTGATTTTAGTGCATCAAAATTAAGCGTAGATCGTCCTTGTGTATCTTCGCACAAAAATTCCGAACAAACTAGCATTTACTAAAACGACCGTTTGCGTTGATGTCATCATGTAATACACTTATGTGCGTACTTTGGAAAGCGTGTTTGATTAAATTGGAACTTCCATAATATCTTTGTGTTTTTTGGTTTTTTATTTTTCATCCTGGTGATAAATTCTACATGAAATTTGTTAATATTTTTCAACTCAGCATTCGCATATGCGTGAAAGCGTAGAGTTTAATCAATAAAATAATCGCAGAAGATACTGTATTAACGAGGCCATACACAATAAATAAAAATTTCAAAGTAATTGGTGCTACAGCTACATTTTATGTATCTGATTCAACTGAAGTAGAAGGTGATTCAGTTGTGATAAATTGTAGTGTAGACGTAGATAACAATTCCTATGTTCTATTCCCATTAGCAAAAGTAGGCGAAGCTAGCCATCTATCTGTCTACTATATATATTTATATATATATATATATTCGTAGCTTTTATTTTCTTATATATCTACCTGTCTTTATATCGGTATATCTCTTACCTCTTTTATCTTTTCACCTTACATTCTCCAATCTGTATTCATACGCAATAAAGAGTTTGGTATACTTTAAAAATAGAAAAAGTAACTTAAGACTACGAGGAAAATGTAATAAAACAAGAGCAATCTTGCACTGTCACTGATATCAATGTCATTATAAGAATTCATGGGTTAAGCTCACAATGTCTCTGGGCTATAAAGTCAGCCTTTGAGCCAGTATGTATAAACAATGAATGTACAGAACATTTTTGCATATAAACAACCTTCACTTACAACATAAGAAATGTCTTTAAATCAGCAAATGATATAAAAGGTTTATATAAGGAATATTTCAATATGAAATTGTTACATACTCATATATCAAGCTGCGTAAATTTATGTATACGTAAAGATATTATTTATATGGTTAAGATTTGTATCTGTTATGTAGCTATATACTTATATATTTACCCGTTTCTAGCATATATTAATAAATTTCTTGACATACATTGTTCTCGTCAAACACCCTGAACACCAGTGATGTGAACTTGGACGGGTCACCTTGTATCTGTTATGTAGCTATATACTTATATATTTATCCGTTTCTAGAATATATTAATAAATTTATTGAAATACATTGTTCTCGTCAAACACCCTGAACACCAGTGATGTGAACTTGGACGGGTCACCTTGTATCTGTTATGTAGCTATATACTTATATATTTATCCGTTTCTAGCATATATTAATAAATTTCTTGACATACATTGTTCTCGTCAAACACCCTGAACACCAGTGATGTGAACTTGGACGGGTCACCTTGTGGAAAAAATAGTTTGTAGATCCGTAGAAACCCCTACAGAAAAAGACAAAATATAATTTTTGTCAAGCAACAAAACAAGAAAATAAATGTCCTGCATCTATCACGAAAACAGAGTAAAAACGAAAAGCAAGAAAGACACATAAAAGCTAAAGTTATTCGATTTTTTTTTTGTTCACGAATCATATAACAAGATTTCCCGAAATACGTATGGTTTGGTTCTTACATGCCATCAGTAATGGTTTCTTCCTAAACGTAAGCGGATTTAGGAAAGTGAAAATTAGGCTTACACTTTTTTATGTTTAGCAATGTCATTAAAAAAGTCTTTCTGTCAAAAAATAGAAGCTGTTCTGTTTTGTTCCTATTAGGTGGAATATATAAAAACGAAACATATTTAGGTTAAAAAGTAGAAGTAGAACTTTCTGTTCCGGAGTAAAAAGGTAACTGTTAAATATAGTATTGTAAATAATTATAAAAACAGAGGTGATACATTTACAAACTTCATAAACAATGATCAATTGCAACTAAATGGTTATTTTTATCATTAGTACAATACATTATTACAAAGAAGACGTAATAAGTCGTACGATGCACTAGTATTTCTATATACTTTAAACAGAACATTATATCTGGTTTTATTCTACCATAATTTCATAAATTTATGATTGTGAAATATTATTCCAAATGTTCCGCCTTACTCCCAAAATTCATCTAACTTGTTTGGTTACTGTTTGACCTATCACATATGCCCATACAACCTTAACAATATCTATATCGGAACTTCGTGTAGGCCGAGCCATGGTTGTGAGTGTTTCATGGACCTATTTTCTACCAGGTATCGTTTCACATCTACTGTTTGTTTGGAATCATTGTCTTGCTGGAATATGAGCCCCTGCCCAACAGGCCTTGTTCCTAAGGGAATAGCATGTTATATAAGAATGTGCTTGTACCTATCAGCAGTTAAAGTACCATCAGTTTTGTGTAGGGCCTCTAACTCTATTGGTAAAGTTGTAGCTCACGCAGCATGCTTCACTGTATATGTTGTAAGTTGACCGTAATACAGTTCTCTTTTCTATAAAACACAAACAAATTCAGTTTAGGTTAATTGATGAAGAGCAAACTACTCCATGTTTGATCACCCCATTGTATAACATCAGATACCCGTTTTAGCTTTTTGATTTCGTTAGCTTCCTACGCATGGCTTTTGAGAGTTAGACATCTATTGAAACCACTTTGTGCTAATGTATATCTTACTGCTTTAGAGATAACAATCTCTCTCGCATTTACAGCAAGGACATTTGCTAGATCTCTACTGGGTTGTTGTATATCACGTAAAGAGTTACTCTGTATTAATTAGTATAATTTTTTAACATATTGGGCTTTCTACGTCGAAATCTTCTATCACCAACAGCAAAAATGTTATACACCCTTTTTATAGCTCCTATTTTTTTCCATGGAATAGCCTTCAGTAAACCATACTTTAATTTTCTACACGTTTTTCATGTGTCGTTTCTGTCCTGGGAGTAATGAATGCATTCACACACTGCACATACTTTATATATATATATATACAGGTTTTCAAAAAGAAATATCACAAATAAACTAAGGTCATATAACTATGCCAATATCTTACCTGTTCAGTTAGCTTCCCATTTGGACAGTCTTTCACAAAACCTTTATACCTGCAAATGTCGCAGAAATCAAAAGGTATCTGCATTAAAAAAAATTTCAAAATACTTACAGATGCGTTTTTTTTTGGTTAGAGGCATCAGATGCTCGAAATATTTATTATGTACCAAATTGTTTGAAAGAAATTAAGAAAAATATTGCATTAGTTTTGACATGCGAAATATTAAATGTATAATGGTAATAGAGTTTTAAAAGATAAGTTTCATTCTGCTTAACAAATGAATATTATAAAAATATTTTTGGACGTTATCAGTGTGATAGGTCTTACCATTGTCGTATTTCCTTTTCCGTGACTGTAGAAAAAGAAAAGAAAAGTTTGTATTTTTTTATAAAGCAGAATTATATTAATTCCTTAATTTAAAGGAATTTACATAAACACATAAACACGAAGGTTTAGATAAACTTTGCTTACTATCAGAACAATGTTCTGGATCGTTTGTTTATAACGGAAACATTTTATGACTGGAATCGTTATCTTTGTGAATCCAAGTGGCTCCAAAATCATTTAATATAACGTACCTAACATATGTATAAGAACCCCATACTAAGTAATTAATCATAGGCTCTGGATAATATCCATAAAGTATTGATGACGTATTTCAATTCTATCGCATAGAAACAAGAGCTAGTAAACAATGAGTAAGTGGTGTAGAAAGGTCAAGCTACAAGGTATTTTTAATTTTTTCATCAATGCATGTGTAAGTACACAATATATTACTACACTGATCAATATCGGATCAGATACATTTAGGAGCTACCTTCACCTCTCAAGCAAGAAATAATCAAAAAATAAGGTATCCTTCAAAAAGGTTCCAATCGATGCTTGATTTTTCTGTTCTTCCCTCTGTTAAGTTGATAGATGAAAGCGTTCAATTTGGAACGATTCATTGATTATTAATAATAAAATATAATTTTAATTTTCTATTCTCACGTTTTTCATTTTTCTACTCAAAACCAAACTAGTACAATATAAATGAAAATGTAGCACCTTGTGTTGTAAGAAACGGTTATGGGGCATACCCCAATTTAGCAGTTATGCATAAATCCTAGTATGTTTTGAATTTTTCATGCACGTAATTTTTAGCATTTCCCTGTCTCCCAGTAGGAACAACATGGCTTCAAATCAAATTATCTAAACATAGTTCAAAATCTTTACCAAATATTTTTTTAAAGCGTACATTTCATTTTGAGACTTCATTGGCAGTAAAAAAATCATATATATATTCAGAACATTGCAAAGTTTGCGCTTCTAAGAGAAGGTCCTTATTTCATAAATATTCGAAAAGGGAACTAAAGTTTATGTTTAATGAATGAAACATCAGGCAAGTTAAAGAAGAAATAAAACATATGATATGCCAGTTGCTTAAGTTAATTATTTATAGAAATGATATCAGCTTTTAGCTCACACACACACTATTTTATATATCATAAAGAAAAGAGAAATCTGGATATTATTCCTCTAACTTTACCACACAGAGACTCAAGATAAACAAAAGCAGGGCAATTCGTTGAGATAAAAAAATATTAGAGTATCTTGATTAAAATATAAAAGATCCAGTGCAACCCTATAGAAATAAATGCTACTTAGCATGCCAGGCATGGCCTAATAATGAATTGTGAATCAGAGAGTATATGGTTCACGTCCCTTTGTCTTGAAAACGCATTCCATACTTTTAGAGCGTACCCACGGCTTTAGAGTGAGCTTCAAATTCCACTATTCGGTCAGACAATAATAGCTCATGAATTGGTAGTTCAAAGTTAAAGACTGCTGTACCCAGTTAGCCCTTGTTCAGTTCTTTAGGCAAAACTTCTAAGCAAACAAAGGTAACTGTAACGAAGCATGTGTTTTTTACAACCTCAACCAAGATTATATAGCATATAGCGAGAGCCACCACAAAAATAATAACTGAAATAGTTAAGATTCCATATTGACCTTCCCTAAGAAAACGTTTACATAAAACACCACAACAGTATATCATCTAGTTCTTACAAGATATTAGCAACTAAGAAAGTAAAACACGGCAATCAAGAAAAGTTCTGAGGCCTGACTCTGAGCCTCTGGAAAATAAGGACACCTTAGAAAAACTCAAAACAAAACAATTTTTCTTACAGTACAAATTTAGAAGTTGATACAAATATTTGCTACGATAGCACTCTTGTTTTATTTAAGAAACCATATACCCTTCATGTCCTAACATTTTGTATTTCGTAATCATCATATTATCTATATAAATAATACGCTTGTATTTGTTTGCCCGGAACTTTTTTTCGCAAATTTCTCGATCAAGCTCTACAAATCTCGTCTTGTTAGAAAGACCTTTGTTCGAAATGTACAGATTATATATTGGCTTTTCAATTCAGAATCTCCTTACCTGTTCTTTATTTAGTCAAACTTTTCAATGCAATGAGTGTGGTACACGATGATACAATGTCGTTGTCATTACCTGACGACTGGCTTCAATTTCAACTTTAGCTTTTTTATTTGCAAATTATTTCACGCAAACAACACTTAACCCACTTGTAATTTCCTTTAAAAAAGAGCATTACACTAAATGCAATTGCTATAGGCTTCACAACTATTTAGGTCAAAAATATGCATGCAAAGTTCGTTCAAAACCATATGCTTATAACTTTGTGAGCACGCGTTCAGATGTTTCTACATATTCGGCTATGTTTGTCTTTATTGTAACTTTACATTTCCTTTACTTTGTAATCATTTAGTTTCGATTCGTTTCAGAGACTGCTATAAACACCTTTAGCTACTTTTTCTTTACTACGTGTTTTATTCTTTATTTTTGTTAGTTTCTTTGTTTCAACTCGTAAAACAGTATCATACACTGAACGCTCATAACTATTTCACATGTTTCATACTCTGTACACTATTATAAATACAATTACTATACTTTATTGTTTACTTTCCGTGTAGTTTTATTAAATAAAGTTACATCTACGTGAATTTGTTTGTCTGACCGCATACAATTTTCCAAATAGATCAGAGTTTATCGATCTAACACATAATGCCTGAAAGGAAGCGTAGCTTAAATGGCGTGCGTGAAACTGATAGAATATGGAAAATTCAAGCGAAGGGCATGAAAACTACTGCAAATTTTTTTGCGGGTCGCGGCTAGTATTCTACGAGAGATGAGAGGCGTGTTCAAAGGCAACACATCACAAACCGCGACTCTCTTCTCATCCTGATACTAGGCCACGCCCTGCCCGCTAAGCGGAATTAGTCAATTCCAGCAGCAATCCTGAGAATAACTTTTTTTTATAACAATTACTTTTCTTGAACCTTTACCATTATTATTATTATTCTGTTTGGTTTGAAACTGTACAGAACACATTTGTTTTTCAAATAGTCCCCCAACCCACCTTGGTGACTCAGCTGTAAGCTTGGTGGGTTATAATGTTAAAATTTGAGATTAAATCCTTACGGTGGACACAGCACAGATAGCCTATTGTACAGCTTTGCGCCTAAAATAAAAACAAAAATATTTTAAAACCATGAAATGTCTTTAAACATTTGTGTTGTGTATAATAAGATTTCGTTGGAGTTTATGGCAAAAGGCAAATCTCCAACTGACCTTCATGGCCAGGTGGTTTGTTTGTTTGTAATTAAGCACAAAGCTACACAATGGGCTATCTGTGCACTGTCCACCACGGCTATCGAAACCCGGATTCTAGCGTTGTAAGTCCGCAAACATATCGCTCTGCCACTGGGGGCGGCCAGGTGGTTAGGGCACTCGACTCGCAATCTGCGGTCGCGGGTTCGAATTCCCATCACACCAAACATGCTCGTCCTTTCAGCCGTGGGGGCGTTATAATGAAACGGTCAGTCCCACTATTCGTTGGTAAAAAAAATTAGTCCAAGAATTGGTAATGACTAGCTGCCTTCCCTCTAGTCTTACACTGCTAAATTAGGGACAGCTAGCGCAGATAGCCCTCGTGTAGCTTTGCTCGAAATCCATAACAAACAAACAAACCAATTGATTTTCCAAAACGTCGTAATGATGTAAGCTTAAATAAGAATGCCTGATAAATATGTAGTTTTAATCATTTACCCTCCGGTAGCTCAGCAGTAATACCCGCAAAGAGCAGAACACAAATAGCCCATTGTGTAGTTTTGTGCTTAACAACAAACAAAAAAATATAATCAATTAAATCAACTTTGTAAGCCATTTTGCAGTCTAAAGTATTTAAATATTTTTTCTTGTGGGAATGAAAATGCTTTTAATGTAACGGTTCCTTGCATTAGGATATGTAATGGTTTCGTTTTTAATGGATATAATCCAGTATTAAAGTAGGCGGGATAAAATATAATCTCCTACATATGACATTAATATAACCTCTTATCTCACAATTACAAAGTAAATAATACACTTTTCTAAACCAGTTTTGATATAAGATGGAGTTAGTCTATACTCAAAAT